AGGTCAAGACGAGTTTTCTTCTCTAATTTTAGGATGGGTGAAAAACCACGACTACCCAAGACGAATCCGATTTAGGTAAAAACCTCTAATTTTTAGGTGAAAGTCAGAGAATAAAAAATTCACCCGCCTATCTTGTGTTTATCCTTGATCATTGTTGAATTAACATTTTAATATAACAAATAAATTGTAAAATTTATTTTTGGACTTAATTGAATTTGTTAAAATTTCTCAAAAAATAATTCAAAGTTAAAATAACTTGAAAAATATGTTTTAAATGTTTTCCAACTTATTCAAACCTTTTCAAAAACATAATCGTTCGTTTTCACCTTTAAAGCGGAGTTTTCAAGGTTTTTTGGTTCAAAGGATTGATCCCCTAAGAAAAAAGATCAGTCCCTTCAACCAAATGATTGATCCCCTTGAAAAATGATTGCTCCTTTGGATTACAAAAAAATTTTGATCGATCCCTCGAGGAAAAAGGATCAATCCATTCACCTAAAGGATTGATCCCTTTCTTGCAATGTTAGAATTATTTGAAAAATGATTAATCCCTTTCACCAAAAGATTGATCCATTATGGATTAAATATTGTTTTTTAACAGCTATAATGATCTCCAACAACTCCAAACGACTAGAATTAATAGAGAATATAAAAATTAAAGATTAAATCATCTCAAGATCAACAAGAACCATATTGAATCGATCTACAAACATCAAAATTTAGTGGATTCAAGGTTTTAGGTATAAGCCTATATGTGTATTCAAGGTTATAATTTGTCCTTAAAGGTAAGTAAATTTAGTGGATTCGAGAAATCCTTATTGTGAATGCTAAGGTTTTGAATATAGACTTTGGTTGATAAAGTCGAATCACTCTAAACTGTTGTATATATTTTTTCTGTTTTTTCTATTGCTTTCACGAAATTTTAAAAAATATCAATTCACCCCCTCTTGACGTATATCGATTATTCGTTAGAACTGACAATCATGATAAATTTTTCTATATTTATTAATCAAAGTTATTAAAGAAAATATTTAGTAAAATAATGATATCCTAGATTAAATTGTTATTTCAAAGAAAATATAATTCAAAACTCAATTTGATTTAAACTAAACACACACCAAAATTTATGAGTAAATCTAACGTCAACTTCTTGGATTTAAATTCAAAACATCCCATTTAATACCTGCCCATTTGTGGCCATTCATTTATGATTTGCACCTAACAATGAAAGGAGTCGCCCATTTTCCTTCCAATAGGAGGTTTCATTTGTTTTATTTTAATTTATTTGAAATTTAATTTTTATGACATGAGTTAATATAGAGCATTCATTAAATTTTATTCAATTATTACAAAATGTTCTGTATATCCGTCAAATCTCTACAATTATAATATTACAGTAATTGTTTTATAATAATTTAATAAATATTTTATACATTTTTAAATTTTAGCTATCAAAATATCAAATGTAAATTATTTATTTCGAAGATACTTATCCCGAATTATAAAGTTTGGGTATGGTGGCAAGCTGTAAAAGAGAGGTAGCCTGCTCATAAGTTGTCAAACGTACGTACTTTGTTCATGCAAAAGGACGAGGGCAACTTTTTTTCTTCTCTGAAAGATGTATATTAAATGAAGGTGTAATCATAATTTATTTTATTTTTTAGAATATTTTGATCCTTAATTTTTTATTTTAGGTTTAAAAAGTCCTTACTATTTGATAAAATAATTATTTTGTCTCTTATTTTTTTTCTGAGACAATTTAACCCTCAATATTTTATTTTAAGTTAAAAAGACTCCTACTTTAGATCATTAATAGTGTGTTAACTAATAAATTTAAAGGGTCAAATGCTTAAAAAGTAGAATGTAAGATAAAATAACTGTTTTGATGAACATTATGAGTTATTTTTGGCATTATACCTTAAATGAACGGTGGATAAGGACACGTATTCCCTGACTCTTCCTCACGGCTTTGTTTCTTTTCTCATAAAATAATCCTTATGTATTTGTTGATCATCACAAGATGGACGGTTCCGGTTTTTCCAAACGTGGAAATCATGGAAATTCTATTCTGGGTGACTGATGTGCCTCTTCTCTCCTTATGAAACTAAAATATGATATCTTGTTTGTTAAAAAATTATGTCTTAATAAAATATTTCGATTTTAATTTTAAAAATTTAAATATAAAATCTATCGAGTGATTTTAATATTAAAAGCGACTATTATTTTTTAAAAGGTTTGAAATTTGAATAATTATAACTGTAAGATGTATATATGTTGTTAATGTAAAAAAATTCTAAACAGATATTATCTTGTGATTATTCAATACTATTAAAAAAAGATACATATACGAATTTGATGTTAATATTATTTGCAAACTTGATGATATTTAAAAAAAATATTGTATGTGTTTTAAGAAGGTTTAAGGTTCATCTTTCTCATTGTTGTATACTTGATTTGTCATTTTCACTCATATCGTTTTTTCATATCAATCTAGTCTTCAAAGTTGTTCAATTGCATCGTTTTATACCATACCCGTAACTTAAAACCTTAAATTGTAAATCCTAAATCCTAACCTCATAACCTCTAAAACATAAACTCTAAATCATAAATCTTAATTTAGGGTTTTAAGTTAGGGGTGATGTATATAATGATGCATTTAAATAATTTCGAGGGCTAAATTGATACGAAAATAAGATAGGGACAAAAATAATAAATTGAGTTTACTACATAAGCAAATATGACCTTAAAGTCTTTATTAGTTATTTTGCGTTTAATATAATATCATTTATAAATTATTATTTTTTTTAAAAGATAACTTTAAGAGTTTGTATTTAAATCAGAGTAAATAATTGGATTTGAGAGTGATTATGTATGGAAAAAAAAGTTAAAGTAAGATACAATGCCCAAAACTAGTATCTTATAAAATTATATTATCTCGATTTTTAAAAATATAAATATAAATTTGATTTTAAATATTCACCCAGTAAGTATGAATATAAAATTAATTAATAGAGTAAATGTTATTTAAAAAATTTAATTTTATTTTAAAAATAAAAAAATATAGCTCAATCATATTTAGAAAATGTATATCGTTCTTTATGAATAACTGAAAAAAGGTCACATTCGAATGATTTTTGGATACCAACCTTCAATTATTAAGGGATATTACCTTAAATTTTCTTGAAAAAACATAATTGAAACATGTGATGATATTTAAATATTCCCATACATTTCATTCAATGTAAATGTTGCTTAGGATGAAAAATTATATAACCTAAAATTCAAATTTTTAATAATTATTTATTTTATTGAGATGTCTATCCTAAAATTTTATTTATATTTATTTTATATATGATGACTTTAAAAATAATTTTAAATCTCTCACTATAAGTGAGCAGTGACTAGGATGATGTTTAGGGTCAATGGTGATAAATTAATTTTGTAAAGAAATAAAGTAATCTTTAATCCTTAAATTTAAAATGTTTTTAATTTAATTTCTAATATATTGCCTATATTAATCATTATATATAAAATTTCAATCTTTTAATAATATGATATTATCAAAGTCATAATACCAGAATGTCGAATTTCAAATTCAGTAATTAGCTGGATAAAGAAACTAAGGATGAAATTTATAATAACTTCATGTTTCAGGGGACTGAATGTTATTTTGTCCCTTTTAATAAACATGAACTCAATTTGATTGCACTTTCTCGAGATTTACATATAATTCAAGTAAATGGGGATGGGCGTCCTACCCTAGTGGCCAACGCGATCATGAATCTCGAAAACGACAAAAGCTACAGAACGAAACGGTATCTATCCCAAGTACGTGTGGCATTCCCGTGGTTTCGAAGTCTAGAATAGGGCAAAATTGTCATTTCAGAGAACATCATCTCAGGGAAAGAGATCTGACGGACTCCGTTTGTCCTCACGTGACCTGTCATCGGTCGCACGCACGGTAGCTTTTGTCCTCTCCGTTCTCATCTTTGTTTCGTTCTTCAAATAAACTAAAAATTAGAAATTAGAAAAGAAAAAAAAAGGAATTTCTTTCGTTATCATTAATGTCGTATTTATTGAGGGAGCGCGTGAAGAAAACACGACTCAAATATAATTTAAATTTATTTATTTGAAATAATTTCATAAATATTATTTATTTAAAATTGAATTTACCACTCAATTATTATTATATAGATATCCTCATATCAAATTGAGCTAATATTCAACTTTTATATCATTTCAAGGCGCTTTCCCCTTTAATTTTTAGATCATTTATTTTTCTTGATTGATCCATCAAATTAATAAAAGTAAAAATTGAAAAAAAATAAGAATGTAAGAATGAACGTTAAATATTTAAAAATAAGAATGTAAGAATGAACGTTAAATATTTTTCAAAACCAAACTTAAAATTTAGTTTTTATTTTATTTTAGTATACACCATTAAACAATTTAGTTTTTGTTTAATTAGTTTTTTGTTCAAAATTTAATGTTAAATTAAAAAAAAAATTGAATGTTTATGTACTAAAATATACAAAAACTGATATTTTAGATATTAAACGCGTTAATTTTTTAACGGTGGGTACTAAAATGAAATAAAAATTAAATTGTTAGATATATTTTTAAAAAACTAAAAGTTTAGATATTATAATATATTAAAAATGATAGTTTAAATAATCCCTAATATGTTTAATGATCTTAGAAACATATCGAAAAAAGTGCACATTATCTATAACCAATCAAAGATAATTTAAAAAAATATGTTTAAAATTATTTCTAAAAATTAAAAATTGAATTTTGAAATAATCATTGGAAGTATTTATTTATTTTCGGTATTTTCTATAAAAACTAAATAAAAATATTAAAAAAACATGTCATTAATCCACATCCATGGGACCCAGGGAACAGTTATATATTGGCCTCTCAGTTTGTCGTCTCTCATTTCCACTTTCATCTGCTTGTGTATAATTTTTTAGCATTTCCTTTGTCTTCTAATCTGCGCACCTTTTCCTATCCTTCACTCACTCCACATGACACTCATTACAACCTCTCTTCAATCCCTTCTTTTATCGTTTCCTCTCTCTTTTCTCTTTCATATTCCCTTCCCCACTGGTTTTCAAGCAAACGAAACTGGTTTTCTCTCTCTTGATAATATAAGTTGAACAGCAGGGGGGGAAATGGAGGGATCTTTGAAGATGAAAAAAAAGAAAGGGGAGTAAGATTAGATTAAAATCCTTGTTGGGTTGTTTTCTGATTTCGTTTTGTGGTATGAATTTTGGGTTTCTAGGTTGTTCTTCACAAGGATCTGTTTTAAGCTTTTGAGTCTTTAGAGAAGGGGGAATGGCTGGAAGTAATGAAATCAACCTCAATGAGTGCAAGGTACAGTTTTTTTTTTGTCATTCTTCTCCCTTTTGTTATTGTGCATACTTTCTTTCTAGAATTGGGTTGTCAAGTATAGTTTTTAATGAAATTTTCATGTGTTTTCCTTTTTTTTTTGGGTTGAATAAAGCTGGGGTTTACCTGAATTTTTTAGAGCTGGTAGTCTTATCAATATTATTTATTGAAGTTTTTTTTAAATATAAAATGATTTGGGGTTATGGCCTATTGTTGTTGAAAGTTGATTTTTTTGCTATTTTTGGGGTAAGCAGTTTGGTTTGACTTTTGAGTATTGTTTCTATTTCTCCATGAAAGTTGGAATTTTCTGATTTTAGCTCAGCTTAGTTTTGATTGTGGAGATCATATTAGATATTGGATGATTCTTCTTGTTTGTTTAACTTGCTTTGGTGGATAACCTATGAATTGACTACTTTCTGCAAATTAGTACTAAAATCTGTGTTTCTTGGCAAGGTGAGTACAGTTAATTTCTTAGGGTTTCCAGGGTTTCTGTTCATATAAATTTGGTGGTATTTTTTTTTCTTTATTTTAGATTTGATTTCATGGAAGATGAAGCTCTTTTTTAGTTCTTGTTTACCTTTGTCTCTTGATAGATGGTGGTTCCACTGAATACATGGGTCCTCATCTCTAATTTTAAGTTGGCTTACAATCTTCTTCGTCGACCGGACGGCACCTTCAATCGGCACTTGGCGGAGTTCCTTGACCGTCGAGTCCCTGCTAATGTGAATCCAGTTGGTGGGGTTTTCTCATTTGATGTTCTCATCGATCGAGGCACGGGCCTCCTGTGTCGGATTTATAGACCAGCTTTCGGTGAAGAGCCTCAGCTGAATATTGTTGACCTTGAGAAGCCTGTTACAGCTGAGGTTGTTCCTGTTATAATTTTCTTTCATGGGGGAAGCTTTGCACATTCCTCTGCAAATAGTACTATATACGACAATCTGTGTCGGATATTGGTTGGTACCTGTAAGGCTGTTGTGGTCTCGGTGAACTATCGGCGTGCTCCTGAAAATAGATATCCGTGTGCTTATGATGATGGGTGGACAGCTCTTAAATGGGTTAACTCTAGATCATGGCTTCAAAGTCGGAAAGATTCGAAGGTTCATATATATTTGGCTGGTGATAGCTCCGGTGGTAACATCACACACCATGTAGCTCTGCAAGCCGTTGAATCAGGAATCGATATATTGGGAAATATATTGCTCAATCCGATGTTTGGTGGACAAGAAAGAACTGAATCCGAAAAGCGTTTAGACGGGAAGTACTTTGTTACTCTACGAGACAGGGATTGGTATTGGAGAGCTTTTCTCCCCGAGGATGCAGACCGGGACCATCCTGCATGTAACCCGTTTGGTCCCAATGGTAGAAGTCTTGAAGGAATCAAATTCCCGAAGAGTCTTGTGGTGGTTGCTGGCTTTGATCTTATCCAGGATTGGCAATTGGCTTATGTTGAAGGGCTCAAAAAGGCAGGCAAAAACGTTAAACTTCTATATATGGAACAGGCTACGATTGGTTTCTACTTGTTGCCAAATAACGACCACTTCCATTTCGTTATGGACGAGATAAGTAAGTTCGTGAGTTCTGACTTTTAATACAATTAACTTTACCAACAGGCAGCAGTGTACGAAAGGAGCTCGACAGTCCACTTGTGGCCGTTACAAAGTTTGCAGTTTACGGTACTACTGATCACTATCATATTAATCATGGTGTTATTGGTCTCTGCATTTGTTTTCCTTAAATGTTGAAGAAGAGGTATTTCAGCATGTAGCTGGACCGCTAATTGTTCCGGTCTGCATTCAGTGAAGTTCACGGCGAGTATAGCCTTTTTGACTACGTTTGCAGATCACTAAGTTTAAGTGTTACAAACTCCGACGTCACGCCCCAAAGTAGAAGATTTGGTACCCGATCAAGGGATCGGTGTTCCCGGTTAATGTTATATATGCTAATTTTAGAACATGGATTAGAAAAGTTCTATTGTGTTGTGACCCTGTATGTCTATACATATCATGTGTTAGTATATAAAAGGATGTTTACTTATATCGGTTTTTTTTTTCGCTTACTGTTATTAGATATTGTCCCTGTTTGCCACTTTACTAGGAATTTGTAAAAATACAGCTATGATTTATAAGATTGAGAAATTTTGGATTACATATTTCTGGCTTTATACTATTAAACTCTACAGGTTCCATGAGACTTATGAGAAGAACTTTTGTTTGCTTGTTTGATTAGTTACAAGTTAATCTTGTTGCATGATTGATGTTTCCATTTAGCATGAACATCTAAAACGATAAAATCAGATGATGTTCGATCCCGGGAAGATAGTTTTGGAGACGACTGAACGAGGCACGAAAACGTGCTGCCATTCCATCCATTAAATCCGACCAGGACAAAGGGATTTTAGTAGTCCCCCCATGGTTTGAGAATGAGATCGATTTTGATGCTTTCTTTGTCATTTGTTGGATTTTTGTGAATGAAGCTTAGGACAGCTGCATACAAAAGTAAAGAAATTGGCTTGCTTGCTTGCAAAGGGAAACCAAAGCACACACACATATACAATGGTGGTTGCTATTTGGATGCATTAAAGGGGACCACCTTGAGAAGGAACTCACATCTTTTCTAAGCTGTTTGGATTTGCTTTCATGGTGCTAGAAGAATATTTACATAAATGTTGAAAAACAGCTAGGCCTTTTGATAAAGACATCATCATGCCTGATTTAATCGACTTTTATGAACCAATTAAAAATAGGTGTAATGTCAAAAAAAAAAATTCTAATGTTTGATTAAATAATCATTTTTCTCTTTTTTTTTTTGAGTATTTTTTCTCACAACATTTAATTTTAAGGCAAAAATGAACCTCTATAGATGGAACCGTATGATAACAAACGATTAACGTTCTAAAATAAGAATATTTTATCTCCTAAAATAAATCGTTGAAGGGTGAAATGCTCCAGAAAAGAAAAGAACAAGGGTCAAGTGGTTATTCGATCAAACATTAAAGGTCTTTTTACTCTAATATGAAAGGTTGGGTACAAAATAATTTTAAAAAAGAATAGGATCATAATGATCATTTAATAAAAGTTGGGGGAAAATTTAGTATCATTTCTTGAAAATATGGGATTAGCATGCATAAATTACTTGGCTAAACAAAGAATTAGGGTTGGTTTTCTAGTCATGTGCTCTGACTAGGATAGCATCTACGTCATGTGAAAATTTGATAAAAATTCCAACTTGATTATGAATGGTGTCCCATACAAAAGTTTTTTATTTTACCTTTCTAAAGATGACCCCTTTTCTCCAACCTGGATGATACCATGTATCAGAATATAAAAATGTCTTAATCTTTAGAATAATGATTTCCCATCCTAACTCCCAGACCATTTACTTTGAGAGATTTATGGTAATAAAAGGCCTTGAACCTTAAAAGATTGCTGTTCAGTCAAATATTATAACAGAATTATCCCTTTATGACCTTTGTAGAAAGTTTCATGGCCAGTAACAAATACCTGATCACATAGGAGTATTCTGTATGTTTATTTTTGTTCACGAATAAATTTATTTGAAAATTCGTTTATTAGTTTATTTTACGACTCAATTATAAGTTCATTTACTTAGTTTTTCTTTTTCTTTTATCTTTTTATATTTTAAATATCGGTGAAGATAGAAATTAAAATAAACATAGGGTGAATTTTAGAATTCAAAGTGAATCATAAGGAGCTTAAAGATTAACAGTGTTACTTCACTATTTAATTATTTTTGATTTTTTAGTTAACATTTTTGAATATATAAACGAATATGTTCATGAACTCTAAATGAACCGAACACAAACAACTTCAAAAATAAGTAAGCAAACCGGACATGATATTAAAAAAATTAAACGTACAAGAACCGAACATGATCATCTTAAAAAAAACAAACGAACACGAATACAATTTTACTCATTCCAACTCTGATTCATTTAAACCTTAAGTAACAAGAAAGTAGATGCTTTGGGTCAAATTGTTGTTCCCAAGGGCCATTTAAACCTTCAAGAATTTTGTTTATTACAGAGCAAAGTATGTTGTCATAATGTTTTCTCCATTGCTCTTGTAGTATGAAAAACTCGTGCTTAAAACAAAGTTAACCAATTGATCGAATCACTCATCGTCGCTTTGCAGCATAGGCAAAGGTCACTGCAGCCAAAATGGTTGTTGCCGAGGAGACCAAAGTCCAAAAACTCTTTTTCTTTTCCGCTTCCACTATAGTTTTCTCCATAACTGCAACTTTCAGCTTCAAATCTTGAGCCACTGTCTCTTTATTCTTGAATGCTTGTTTGATTGCCTCTAAGTTGGTTGCAATTGGTTCGATTTCGTCTTCAAGTTTCTTTTCGGAAATAGCAGCTTCTTCTTTCTCCTTTCCATCTTTAGATTGACATAACAGTGAGGCAGTGTTCTTCAACAATGCCAATACTTGCCTATAACCGATGCTGGTTGATTCCATTTTAGCCCTCAAAGCATTGAGACTACTCTTTGCCTCCAAAAGTTCATTCTGCAACCTATCTATATCTTCAGCCATCAATCCGCAGCGACTCTCGATATCCTTCTTTTCCTTCATTAGGTCATGCCATTCAGCCTTCTGATGTGCAAGTTCTTTTGTAGTTTCTTCAAGTATCTTCTCCATTTCTGAAACTTTCAATCTCAACCTAACACCATTCTGCTTCTCCTCATCCAATACTTTCAAACAATTGTCCTTCTCTAGTGTCAATTGGTCGAATGAAACTCTAATACTGCTAATTTCGGATAACAACTCTTCATTCTTCTTGTTATGCGCCCGACATGCCTTGATCATCCTATTGACAACAATCCACAGATCAGACACATCTTCTTGTGGCTCAGAATTTTCACTCACCGCACTAACTTTTTCTCCAAGAAACTCCTCAAGGAAGTCCACAATCTTCTTCTGCATATCCTTGAGTTCCTTCTGGTTCGTTTCCAACACTGTTCTAACTGCATCACGTTCCTCCGATAACTTATTGATTCTTCTCTGCATATGCTCTGACTCCGCCATTGCCATCTCCAATGATTTTGAGGCAGAATCCTTCTCCTCCTTCAACCTATCAATACTCATTTCTATTGCTCTCTTCTCTTCCAACAATGCACCAATCTCTTTCGCCTGTTCAGCCTCCCTATCCATTGCTTCACCACAATTCTTTTCGAGCTCGAGTGCCTTGGCACGCAAGATTCCCTCTTCATTCCTCAAATTCAACACAACCTCACTCAGTTCCCGAGTTCCCTTTTCCAACTCACCAATCTTTATCCTTTGTTCACCTTTCTCCATCTCAATCTCTTCCTTTTCCTTCTCGAAAGTTTCAATCTTTTTTCGCAAAGTCTCAACTTCTTGGACCAATTCTTCAATGTTTTTCTCCATCAAATCTTTCTCCTTCGCCATTGAACTCTTCACCTTCTCCAATTCCTCAATCTCCAAAAGAAACCCATTACATTCCACTTTCAGTTTCCCAATTTCTTCCCCAAATTTCCTCTCGTTTTCCTCCATTGCCATAATCTTCTCCTTCGTCAAACTACCCTCATTAACCTGCAACTCGAAATCATTTCTTGCCAAATCTCTCTCTTTACAAGCCAAACTCAACTTTTCTCTCTCACTTTCAAGGCTACCTATCAGTTCATTCACCCTACTATCCAACGCCCCACCCATCTCCTTCATTTGACTCGCCATATAAACCCGAAGCAACCCGTTCTGCAACTCTGAACTAATACTTTGAGTCAACTCAGCGCCAAGGGCTTCATTGGCCTGAACCAAGTAATCAATCTGACGTCTGTTTTCATGGGCCTGATTGACAAGCAAAGAGTTACGTGACTGAAGACTTTGAACCTTCTGGTTAGGGTCTTCCATGGAAGATTCTGTAAAGGTCGAGTCTTTTGCAGGTTCTTGAATTTCTGGAGGGGGGTTTTGTTGCTTTTGGCCCTTGGATTTATGGGTAGAATTCTTCTTGGCCATCCTTGGAAGTATTAGAGAAAGGTGGGAATTTTATGGTGGAGAAAGGAGATATGGTGATAAAGTGAAGAAAAAGGTGCCAAGGAAGGAGGGAGTTCTTGAGAAGATTCAGATTTTAAAAAATCACAAAATATAGGATTTGTGTGTGCTTTTACCATCACAAAATTATGTGAACGTGGTTGCTTTTTAATTTCAATTTTTAGATTCATTGTTTCTTTTTAATGGTAAAATAATATTTATTTTCAATTTCAAAAACAATGTAATTAAATTTAATTTAAATACATTATAATTACTCATTTCATTAATTTTTAGTGTTTAAACGTGTAAATATTATGTTCTTCTTTTTTTCTAGTAATTGAAAAGTAAATGTTTCTCTTAAATAACGTTCTGAGTATTTAATTTTAATGAATGCCTACTGTTTTGGTTTAATCAAAATGAAACTTTTAATTTTTTTATTAACTAGAGATATTATATTATTAAAATAAATGTTAGAATTTAAACTCACACAAGATAAAATAATATGAATATTTCTAGTCACTGAATCAATTTAATAAATCTCTTTAATTTTTTAATTTTTAAAATATAAGGTTTATCTTTTAGTTATATATGTGAAAGGAAATTTATTATTTTTTACTATTTATTACCTTAATGATTAGAGCGATTAGAGTGTAATCTTCTTTAAAAATATTTGAATATTTATTGTCATATAATTTATAA